GCCGAGGCGCATCGCCCATCCCTCTGCTCGGAGAGGGATGGATGGCCCCGGAGCGATGCTCCGGGAAGGGGGAACAGGACCCGAGTTCCCTCGGGCAGCCCCCCCGGCACAGCCCGTGCCGTGCCCGGAGGTGACAGGGGGATTTCTTTCCCCGCAGGGAACCGGGAACGCCGGGACAGCCGAGCCGGGAGCGCCGGGACAGCCGAGCCGGGAGATCTCGGTGTGTCCTGGATGGTGCCGGGGAGCCCCGGACCCGGGGGGAGCTCGGTCCCAGGGCGGAACGGGGACAAGGACCCAGCGGGAGCAGCGGCGCGGGGCCGGAGACCCCCGGGCCCCCAAAACTTCTCCAGGTGGGAGCGCCCTCGGCTCCAGCTCCTACAGCGAAGTCCTGCTGCTTTCGCCTGGGGAAAGGACGCTCGGGACAGCGGGAACGGCCGGAGCGGCGCAGGGAGGTACCTGAGGAGCCTCGGTGGGGCTGGAGCGGGTCGTGCCGGGAGCCGGGCGGGCGCTCGGTGCCGGGAGCGGGGCCGTGATGTCACGGCAGGAGGGAGAGGAGCACGGGGAGGAAGGGGCGGCCCGATGTGACCGCGCCCAGCGCACGCCCGGCCCGGGGGGCTCCGTCGGGACTCGGGGGCGCTCGGAGCCCCCCCCCCGGGCCGGGCACGGAGTCGGTGCCGGGGGAGCGCCGGTGTTTCAGCACCTGCGGCCGGCGGACAGCGCGGCCCCGCGCCCCGGAGCATCCCCGGGGAGCCCCCGGCCGAGCCCCCCGAGGGGCTGCGCTCCCGCGTCTCTCCCGCAAAGCAAACAGGGACATATGGGATTCAATCATAAATCCAGCTTCGCTTTTATTACATCGATTTAATTTATTTTGGGTGCTGAACAAATAGAAGGCGGCCCCCGGGGTGGCGGCTGGGCCCCGGCGGGGACTCCCCGGTGTGTTCCAGACGAGCCACCGGCACAGATGGCCCCTTCTTGGAAGATTAAAAAAAAAACAACGTTGTAAACCTTTCAAGTAAAATATTTGAAGAGCAAATATTAGCCAGCGAGGAGCCCATCACCGTGGCCCTCCGCGCCCGGCCCCGCGAGTCATCCGGCGTTATTTGCACCCCGGCCCCGGCCCCCGGCTCCGCACAACCGCCCGCCTTTGGAAAATACCATATGCTCCGAATTACACATTAACCACAGCCCTGCGGGGCCCGGGCCCGGCCCCGGCCCCCGGGGAGCCTCCGCGCCGCCCCCCGCCGCCCCCGGGGCGCCCCGGCCGTGCCGCACCCCGCGCTCGGGCTCGGGCTCCCGGCGGCGCGGGGAGCGCTGGCACCCGGGCCCGGATCCCCCCGCTCCGCCCCGGCCGCCCGGGACTCCCCCAGCTCCTCCCCGGCCGCGGGGGATCCCCGGCGGAGCCCCCGGGCCCGGCGAGCCCCGTGCGTAACGCGGGGAGGGGGCCGCGGGCAGCGGGGCTCGGCACCCGGGCGGGAGCACCGGGTCCGTCCCCGGGCCCCTGTCCTCGGGCCCGGGCGGGGAGCGGCACCCGGGGGGCTCCGGGCAGGCCCTGGAGCCGCGGGGCCGCCCCCGGGGCCGTGCGCGCTGGGACCGGGCGCGCCGGGCTCCGGAGCGCGCGGCCCCGGCCGCAGCCTCGACGCTCCCGGGCAGGCCCCGCCGGGACCCGGAGGCCGGAGGAGCCCCCGGAGCCGCCCGGAGCTCGGGGAGCCCGGGGGAGCCCCGCGGGCCGGGGGGAGCCGGGGCGGAAGGCACAGGACCGTGCGTACCGGGAGCGGATCGGGCGCGACGGCGGCTGCGGCCTCGGGAACCGGGAAAACGGGACCGGAAAAGAGCGGGGGAGAGAGGAGGAGAGAGGGGGAGAGAGGGGAAGAGAGGGGGGGAGAGAGGGGGAGAGAGGGGGGGAGAGGGGAGGAGAGGGGGGGC